ACAAATACTCCTGTGAACCTCTGGAAGACTTGAGATTTCTCTTCAAGAAGCACCTCTGCATATAGATAAGTACACTGAATCTTTCTACGGCCGTGGTTCCCAGGCTCTGGATAATATATCTAACATCCTTTTGTGCCATACGCTCTCCTCCATAGGAAGCATGAATCTGACCTGCTCCTCATATTGGACATCCCAAACTTAATGGTAAGATTCATTAACTCTTTTCTCATTGTGTTCTTACAGGTTTTTCTTTTTTCAACCCCACCAGTGAGCCACAGCACCCCAACATCGTTGGAAAGCACATAATCCCCAGTAGGTAAGGTCTACCACCCCTTCCAGCAGAAAGTAGATATACAAAGACAGGGACCTCCTCCACCCCTTTGGCACCCTATGAAGAATTATGGGGTTATGCGTCTCTCAGGGGAAATGAGGCAGGAAGGTAGGGCGTGGCTAAAACTAGCTGGGAAAGTGAGTGAGGAAATCCTGGGGACACGTGCAGAACCATTCATTCTCAAATCCCTGCACATGGACTTCTTGCAAGAACTAGAGCAGGTTTTTGATAGGATGACCTGGACTGTGATGGCAGAGGGGAAATATAAAAAAGGGACCATCACCATTGAGTGCTATCATGTTTCTTCAAGGTAGCCCACCCTATCCTGTAAGGTGCTTCTCTCCCTTTTCCCTACTTTTACTTGACCCAAACTCACTCTGCAGGGCCTGTTTCTTACTACCTTTAATAAATGTGAAACTTTGCCATTATTTTTGAAAAGTCTCCTGACTTCTGCTACAAGACACAGCAATGACTCACTCACACACTGGGCTCGGGCACTACACCCACAATGAAAGCAGCTTAGCCTGGGACAAGTGGTCTCAGCCACCAGTCACCCCCACATGGATGCTGGCCACTTGTGTGACTACTACAATGTGCTAACTTGGTATTTCTTCGCTCCAAAAGCCAGGAAAGTGAGATGGCCTATCTTTGCCTCCCTGTCCTTATCTGTCCTGATAACCCCAGCAGAGTAGGCTTTGCTGGGTAAGCACATCCTTCAGCTGCAGCTGCAGTACCACACCCCTTCTCTGTGAGTCTCCCTCTCAGGACTACAAGAGATGATTGATGTGAAACGTGATAAACTGGACAGCTTAGGGATTAATTTATATATATAAAAAAGCAGTTCCTAGGTTTAGGCTTTTTTTACCAACAGTGTTTTACATACAAACTGATAATACTACTAATAATAGCCCAAATAATCAAGCAGTAGCACTGCAGCAGATAATTGGTCAAGTGACTCACATACATGACTACATCTGAGCATCATTACAATCCTTTGAGGTAGGGGTTGCTTTCATTTAAAAGGTAGAAAAACAAAGGCCCTGTAAGAGAACACTGGGACAGGTGCTGGGGTCTGTAGCTCAGTGGTAGAGTGCTTACCCAGCAAACAGGAGACTCTGAGAGCCCCAGCACAGCAGGGGGGAAAAATCAACCTGAGTATGGGGCCTGTGCTGTAACCATCAGGCAGCTCTGCACTCAGCAGCACGCTGGCATAACCAGGGCTCTCAGAAACTAGATCCCTGGGCTTTGCCTCACACTTCCAGAATAAGTCTTGATAAACTTTTAGTCACACCTATGGCTGAAGACCAGCATGCTTCAGTATTAGCCTACGTATGTTAAGTAGATAGCCTTCCTTAACTAATTGAAGGTATTCCAGGGACTTTGGCGAGCCTAGAATCTCTATTATTCAAAAGTATACAAGAGATAGAGTTAATTATTTCAACCTGACCATAATACCTTCAGGGTGAGAACAATTACAAATGTCAGAGCTGGCCAACTAAGGAGGTGAGGGAGAAAGTCCTCCTTTGCCACAGGAAGGGAAACCTCAAGTGTCCCTCCTTTGGAGAAGACACAGTGGGACACAATCTAAATGCACCTATTAATCTTCCTGTGCCTGACAGCAGAACAAATAATAAATATTTGTTGAATGGACAAACCAGTGAGGAAGAGACTTCCTCCAGCTGGAAATAATCTCACTGTCCTCAAAATTCCATGTATCTGGTCTGCACCTTTTTCACCTTATTTTCCACATTCTGTCTTGCATTCCTGCTATCTGAACTGGGCCTCACCTCTACCCGAAGGTAAGCATGCAGGGGCAGACTCCATCTCTCTGAAAGAAGGCTCCCTGCTACCCCCAGCACAGAGCACAGCTACAACCTCTAGCAGGGACCCTCAATGCGTGTTTGGCTTGATTCCAACTGCAACCCAATTCACATCTGTAGGCCCTGGTTAGTCACAAGGCACAAAGGAGCCTGCCAAGAACCATGGCCCAATTGTGTACGGCTGGGAAACAGCAGCAGGGAGATCTCTGGGTGAAAGTCATTAGGAATCTGGTAGACCACTTTGGAGGACAGCCTCAGGAAGACCACAGCTCTGGGAGGTAGAATCCCAGATACTTGGAAATGAAGAAATTATATTAACAAATGAAAAAATGCTTTTATTTAGTTTTGTTCTCCCAGTTCCCTTGTGGAAGCCACATGTTCCAAAAATTACAGCCATAGTTAGGAACACCTTGAAGTACGAGTCAGTGACACAGACCCAACAACAAATACCACCCGCAAATAAGACTCACAGCTGGCCAAAGTGCCAGAGACAGTCAGTTTAAAAGACGAGGAGCACAAGGTCCAGAGTTCGATCTCTGGTACCAAAAAAAAAAGATGAGGAATACATTTTCCCTTCACCACCAACCCATCAGCTCTTGTCTCTTGGTGCCACCCATTGCACAGTATCTGTGTGGCCCTTGTGTCAAGCTGCTTCCTGCTGTTTCACACCCCACCTTGAGCCTCACAGCCTGTGACAAAGGAAGCTCAAAGATTACTGAATGCAGCAAGTGACCTCAGGCTGCACGGCATGCTGGAAGGCACCAGAAAGTGGCTAAATAGGCGGTAGACACGTATTTGTGAACGAATGAATGAAGAAGGCAAGAATCCCTCCAACAAGAAACAAACTCATTCTGTCTCAGTTTCACCTTACCTGGCTTGCAAATCTCTTTGATGTACATCACCTAATTAGGTTCCCCAGAGAAGACAATGTGATGAGCTGTTTTAAGATCATCCACAAAGCCTTCTTTGCAAGCTTCTATTCAACAGGTAAAGGGCTGTGCCAAGAGCTTGGGGATTTGTAGACTGTCACACTTCCAGGTCCCTGAGAAACTCAAGTTTGTGGAGACACAGGCAGGTACATACACAGAGCAAGAAGATATATTGGGGGGCAGTGTTGTGAGCACTGTAAGAGAGATTAGGCAGCAGAGTGCTGATAGCATATGGAGGGGTTTCTCTCTTGAAGAAGTCAAAAGGCAATTTACAAACTAAAGAAAATTTCTTGGAGTTATTTTGTCCTTTTAGAGATAGGCATTTTTGAGGTGGCAAGATCTACCAATGACCCCAAACGAGGCTACAGTATTGTTTTGAAATTGCTTTGGAAAACTGGGGGGGGGGGGCACCCAGGGTGTGCGTCTGTCCCCGGGTCTTGCAGCTGCACTGCACCCGGGACCTGGGGTCTGAAGGGTACACGCAGCCTGGGAGGGAGTGGGGAGGGTAAGAGGAGCACGGTGGGACCCAGATCCAGGAGGCAGAATTAATTACTTTCAGAACAGGGGACCTAGTCCACTCACTGCTACAACCTGAGAGGCTCCTCAGGGAACTGAGATAAGGCCAGGAGCCCACGGCCAAGGCGTGATATTCCGTGAGGATTAAGTAGGTCAGGAAGACCCGGCCAGGCTGGGCTGCTAGCACAGACACATGCTTTGTTAATCTCCGAGTTCAAAATCGATCTAGGCACAGATTGAAGATCTGGGTCACCTCTACTGGGTCAACTGGTTTCCCTTACACTTACAACTTTCTTAAATATGCACACTGAAAATGGAAAGGGGAGTGAGACTGAAATGAAGCTGTATGGAGACCTAGAGGCCTCGGGAGGACAAGGCGCTGATGGGGACTTGCCCGCCTCTCAGGGCAGCGCGGTTCTCCAGCGCGCGCGTCTACGCGGACCACTGCTCCGGCTGTCCTGGCTCCTCGGGAGAGGCTCTCTCCGGGACCCCAGATGCAGGAAGGGCGCGCCTCCCTCTACTGGGAAGGCGAGGCGGTGCCAAAGCAGGATCTGGCCCCAGGGGTGTCCGAAAGTCCCCCTCCGACCGGGTCGGGTGTGGCCGTGGCCCCGGGGCATCATCCAGCCCCGCAGCGCCCGCGCCCTGGGCTCCGGCCCCTTCCTCCCGGTCCCCGAGAGCGGGCAGGACACGGGGCCGCTGGACAGGGACCGCGCCCCTCCCGAGGCCAGGGGAAGCGGCCTCGCCATCCCCGGCCTCCCGGTCTCCGCGCCCGGCGCCCCGGGACCCACCGTCCAGCCCAGCCGCTCCCCGCGTTCCCCGAACTCGGGACTCCGACCCGGTCGCGTCCCGGGGGCGCGGCGGCGTGTCCTTACCGCGCGGCGGCTCCGGGCGGCTTCTGGGGCCCGCGGCGCGCCGAGCATGTTTCCAAGAAACTTCTGCAGGTCCGCAGGGCCGGGCCGGGCCGGGCGGGCAGGAACCGCGCTCCGCGCCGGAGGCTGCGACCATCCGGGAACTTGGCCGGGACGGGAACCCTCCCTCGCCCCCCCGCCCACCGCGGACGCCTCGCCCTCGCCCTCCGCGCGCGCCCCGAGCTCCGGTCCGGCGTACTCGGGGCTGCGGGAGAGTCGGGGACGCGCTCTCCTCGGAGCTCCCGGGCCTGGGACCGGCGCTGGCAGAGGAGCGGGACCTGGAAAGGGTGTCTGCTGTAAGGCACCCCCGCGGCTACTGGGGTCCCCCTTCGCCCGCCAGGAAGGAAAGTCCTTTCCCATCGCCTTCCTCTCAGCTGTCAAACAAGAGGGTCCCGCTTTGAGCCCCCTTCAATTCGAATGCATTTAAGAGACATGTTTATGAATGGAGTGGAACCCGCAGGGGCCTACGGTCTCAGGCATCTCACTGCTCACCCACCGTGTGAGTGGGTGGCCGCCGCTGCCGCCGCTCCTCTGGGAAGAAGCCTTTCCCTCCGGTCGGCTGGGATTCTTGGAGTTCTTTTGCTTCTGCAGCAAGTGGGGACAGAGTTATCATCAGCCGCCCACATCCTAAATCTGATAAGATCAACGGCTAACAATTGGAGAAAGCAGAGGCTCAACTCTCACCAGCTCTGAACGCCACCACCTCTAGGTCCCCAGAGAAAGCTAGCACTGTGACCACAGGTATTAGAATGTGTACTTGAAAGGACACGCTATGGTCAGTGTAGTAACCATTGGTTCATATGTTCAAGTACCAAGGCTGCTCATCCCCTGAGTAGAAGCAGACAAGGTGGGAATAGTGCACCTCAGAATTTGGTGTTCCGTGCTGAGGAGACTTTGGTTTGAGGAGCTCTCTGTCCCTGAACCATTCTCACCGGTACATTTGTATCTTGACACGTTTTTAGCACATACAGTAACCCTTCTAGGAAAGGTAACATGGGTCAGCTCTTCCCATGGGCAATTTTTTGTCCCTAAATGTATTTTTCTTTTTAAAGTTCATTATATATTTGCCTTTCTTTTAAAACAATTTCTGCGGTAATATACACATGTCCTGTTTTAGGTAAAATGAAGACAAGTGATTTCATATATGAATATGTAATTCCAGACTTCAAAACATATCAATAACACTTACTGTGATGTGGTGCAGAATTAAAACTAAGAACTACCTGATTTCCTTAGTAGCCCTCCAAGCCTGTTGTTACTTGAGGTAAGTCAGGATAGCAATAGTTCCTACCTCCAGGACTGATGTGAGGATTCAAAGGGATAACCTCTCTGAGCATAGGAGTGTATTTGTTGGGTTCAGAACTCTCTTGAGTTTATGTCTCTTGGGAATCTGGTAAAGTTAGTGTTAATCTACACAAAAGAAAATTAAGAAGGTGTATGATTTGAATGTCCCTACCAAAACTCATGTTGAGATTTAATCTCCATTGTGAGGTCTTAAGAGGTGGGAGATTGAAGAGGTGATTAGGTTATTAATGGATTAATTTGAGAGTTAATGATTGATGGTCTATAGGTTATCTTGAGTGGACCAGTTAGAAAAGCTTTATATTCACAGACTTGCCATGTGACGTCAGGACCCAGCGGGACGGTCCTCACCAGATGCAGCCCCTTCCCTTGATTTTCAACTTCTTAGCCTCCAGAACTGTGAGTTCAGCAAAACTTTATTCTTTATAAATTATCTGGTCTGTGGTTTACACTTGTAGCAACAGAAAATAGACTAATACAGAAGGTAAAATACATATTCCTCTTCATTTCAGCATTGGGAGCCAAAAATAAATGGTGTTCTGAGTTGTCCACTGTTTTAAATCCTAAGGCCAGTGATTAGTTGTGTAGAATGCCCCAGGCTCTCTCCCTTCAAACCCTAACACTTCCCTCAATAAGATCAAACCCCAAATAGTAGTTTATCAATGATAATTTTTTTATTTCAATACGTGGCCTAAGGTCACACAAGAGTTTTACATAAGGGAAGGTGGGTGAAATGCCTATGAAAATATTTTTATGGGTTTTTTTCTTTCAACTTAATTGTAAGTTTGAAATTATTTTAAATGGAGAAGTTTAAAAAATTCTAGATGAAAACTATCAGAGCTTAAAACAGATCCTTTGTTCCTTTGTGTGATGCTAAATTATAGTTTAAAATAAAGGTGTTGGATATACTAGTAGTAAGAGTTCTTAATGCTAATCCTCTGCAGTCATGTACACTTTGATATGAATGAGTTAATAAGGAAAAAAAATGCTTGAAGCTAGGTCACAAATATAGTGACTTTGGTAAAGAGAGAGGAAGGAAGGAAATAAAAGGATGTTGAGGCTGGCAAAACTAAGATAAATTTTCCAAAGCACAAAGTTGTTGAACACAGATGGTCTTACTATGACTTACTATGTTTCAGCTTTTAATTCTTTGACTTGACAATGGTGCAGCTAGCAATATGTAGTACAATACTGACTGGGCAGCAACTGGGAATCACAAAAGTGTATCAAAATTAATACTCTGCAGTGTACTGTGTTGCTAAGCAATGAAGTCCAATAGGTAGGTTACGTGCATTTGTAACTTAAGATGTTTTTAACTTATACCAAGTTAATCAGGCCATGACCCCTTTGTAAATCAAGGACCATCTCTGTACATACATTTGTGTTCCAATTCATAATTACTCACTCTGACCCTGTACTAGTTCACTGGTACCTCAGAACTCCCCTCTTAAAACAATGACTCGTTCAGAGGGGCAGAGGGGCCTTCCTGCCTCCTCACAGAATTCTCACAGCAACTTTGTGAAATAGGTAATTGTCTCCCTTTACTCATGAGCAAGCTGTGACTCAGAGAGTGCAGGTAACCTGCCCAAGATCACTCCACTTCTAAACTTCCAGTCCAAATTATTAGGAGGCTGGTGACCTTGCTCTAACCACTACGCGATACTGTTTCTTGGCTTTACTTCCTGTGTTTGCTGCACCCTGAGCTTCTGCTGATGTGAATGACATGAACAGATAATATCCAGATTCCTTGAGGTCAAAAAGCAAAAGAGGAAAATACTGTTACTTACCTTTGTGAAGAATTGTTGGTGCTCTGGCAGATCTGGTTGAAGGCTCTGTGTCCACTTGGGCTCTCTTGGGACTTAATGCAGAGAGGAAATGGAGTCCTGCGGAGGACAAGTGCACCATGCCAGGCCGGGAACGCTGTGCAGTCAGGACGTGTAGGGAGGAAAGTGGCTCCGGGCTGCTCTGCACTTAGAGGTGCTCAGCATATATTTAATAGCAGTAACCAGAACTGAAGGGACTGAGCTCTTGAGCACTGTGTATAAATTTTACATATTTATACCATGTCTGATTCCAAAAAAGTCTTAAGACAGTAAGAATTAAATATGATAAAATCTAAACTTTATTGTGGACTAGCAAACTTAGTAAATATTTTTACTCTACCATTTTCTTTCCTTACTAAAAATGTTCTCTCATTCTAAACAATTCATATATTCATGAGCACAAAATATAGAAAGTAAAAGATGCTTGTAATCCCGTTCTCCAGAGAGAACCATTGGTAGGATATTCTCCATGGTTTTTTTTTCCCTAGGAATCCTTATTTTTTGAAAAAGGTCAACAAATATTTAATGAAAGCAAGGTAAATAGGATCAGCTAACATCTTCTATAATTCATAGTTTTTTCCCAGTAAATAATCCATTGTGTTAGTTTTCTGTTGCTGTGTAATAAATTACCATAAATCTAGCCACTCAGAACAACATCCATATTATTTCAGGCTCTGTAGAAGTCTGAACATGGTATTATTAGGTTTTCTGTTCAAGGTGTCACGGGCCAGGCTGTTCTTGACTACAGGCACTGGGGTGGGGGGTGGGGGGGGTGTCCACTTCAACATCATTCAGGTCCTTAGCAGCTTTAAGTTCCTTTTAGCCTGGGACTCGAGGAACCTGGTTCTTTGCTGACTGTTAGCTGGGAGGCTGCTCTCCACTCTGAGAGGCCACCACATCCCTGGCCACATGGCTTGCCTCTATCTTCAAAGCCAGCAGTGGAGAATCTACTCATACTAAATCTCTCTCATACTTCTGGTCTCTTTTGCCAAGAGGAACTTGATCCCTTTTAAGGCCTTAGCTGATGACCTTAACCCACTGAAGATAATCTCCCTATCTTAATCCTAATTACATCATCCTTTCATGGCAGCATCTAGGTTAGGACTTGGTTGACCAACTGGGAGAAAGTATGTGTACACTAAGGGATAGAAATCTTACTGTTCTACCCTCCAGATATCAAAGGTTATCTTCCCATTTCTCTAAATATAGATCTACCATCTTCATTTTTAAGAATAACATAGTCTTCACTATATGATGTACCATATGCAGCCAAATATTCAGTAGTGGGTATTTATGTTACTTCCAATGATTTGCCTTTTTAAAACACACAACAAGCATTCATGCTCCTGAGTGCTCATATGTTTCGAAACTAGCATTCTAACTTACAGAAATTAGTAACTTCCACTAGCTAAGTGGAACTGCAAGGTGGGAAGGGTTTGTACTTTTTGGTAGATATTGCCAAATTGCTCTCCAAAAATGTTAGCATCAATTTATACTTCCAATGACTGAATATAAGAACCTAAATAGCTAATTCTTATAAACAAATTCCTTTTATAGACTGTTACTTCAGGAGGCTGTATATGTAGTGATTAAGTGCATTGACTCTCAGTCAGCTTGACTGGCAAATAATCTTAGCTCTTTGGTCTCCAGAAGGGTATGTATATCAGCAAGCACTGGTCACTGGGATCATTTTGGAGGCTGCCTACAATGCTCCCCATAGAAGTGTTCATGCAGTAAAATAATATACATGGTGTCTAAGTTTAGTAAGCACTCATGAAAGGTTTATTATTAGTAGAAATAGTTATTGTTGTTACCATCATCCTCATTGTCACCTGTTACACTCATTTTCCTATTTGACTCAGTATCACATTAAGAACCAAAGAATGCATTTAAAATAAAGGTATATTTGCATTATGTAGGAGGCACTTACTACCAGTAAATGGAAACCTGCCCAAATGAGGTAATATAGGAAAGTTTAAAAGAGGACTTGCTTACAAAGGTGCTTAGGCGAAGGAGCTAGGGATAGGGCCATGCTCCAGAAACAGATCAGCAGGGAAGTAGTGGCCACTACTGTCACTAGGTGTGAGGGGAGCAATTAATCAGGTCTGGGAAAGGGTGGGGGGGACTTCTGGCAAGAGTCATGACCTTTAGCAGAAGAATAGTGCCAGAATGCAGTGATCCACCAGGGTAAGAGCTGAGCAGGGTGGAGAACGGAGACCATGGACTGGAGGAGTGGATGGAAAATGTACAGCATGGGCAATCACAGCTGTTCACTAGTGGGACATTTCCTGTGATGAGACACCATGTTTCGTCACATAAAAGAGGAACTGAAAGGCAGTTAATCCTGACTTTCCAAGATAGGGGTGAGGCAGGGGAGGCACTAGGGAACACACCTTCAGAGGCATCGATCTAGCCTTGGTTCACAAGACTCCTACAGTAGCTTGCATTTCGGCCAGAGCGGAAGCTCTGGGGATTAAATTCACAGATGGCAGACTGGTCCAATAGAAGTGCCTCAGGGAGCTCCTATGGACTGCAGGTTTGATTTTAACCAAGAGGACCTAATGACGTGAAAGGCACTCATTCTTCTGTGTTTTCTGATTGTACAGCCTTGTGACTCTGGCTAATAGTGACGCCTTGCTTCATTGGTCAGGAACCCACAAAGGTACCTGAAGAAGACCTCTGGGGCTACCAAAGCCACAAGGTTTCCCAAACATCCTTCTCAACCCATCACAGGGATCTGGGAGCTGTAGTATGGGGAGAGAAAGCAGTGTAGCTGCAGGGCCAGGAGAAGTGTGAGCTTAATACAATGACCAAGAAAGGATGTGAGACCAATGGACTCAAGGAGGGGTCTGTGCTTTCACAGGCAGTCCCTGTGGAAATCTCAGCTGGGGTTTTGTTTTGTTAGTAGTGCTGGGGATCCAGCCCTCTTTATTTTTTATTTTGAGACAAATCTTGCTAAGGTGCTCAGGCTCATCTCGAACTTACAGTCCTCCTGCCTCTGCCTTCTGAGTAACTCAGATTATAGATATGTGCCACTACTCCTGGCTTCCCTGTTTTTTTTAAATTAATTTTATTGGTGCATTTTAGGTATACAATATAATGACATTCATCATTGGAAATTTGCACCTTTACATAGTCTCTCTTGGTTCTTATTTTTTCCCCCTTCCCCTGCCCTCCCTCCAACCCCTCCATCCCTCCTTATTTACAAAGACTTTGTTTCCATTTTTTCATTTTCTCATATTAATTCCATTCCCTTCTTTCCTCTGGCTTCCCTGTTTTTGTTTTTGTTTTTTGGTACCGGGGATCAAACTCGGGACCTCACACTTTTGAGGCAGGTACCAGAACCACTGAGCTAAATCCCCAGCCCCTGCTTCCCTGTTTTTTGAATAATTATTTCCATGCTTTGAACTGTGAAATTGGAAGTCATTGCAGAGGCCAGGGAAGGTTGAATTTGTTTACATTATTTATTTATTGTGGCAATTGATATTTGTTTTTAAAATGCTATTCAAATATGAACAATCTGGAGACAACTCTTTAAAAGGTGAAGAGGGCACTTGCTAAAATATCCTAAGAGTATTTTTGAAGAGTTAGGGATAATAGGAATGTTACAGGATAAAGAAGACATCATAGTAAGGCTGTTGATTAGCAATGACTGAAATGAACTCATCCTCAGGAAGGCCCACGACGTAAATATTAACAGAGCCCTCCTGGTGGACATTGAGGAGATAAAAAATTAAACCCATAAGTAAAGAAACACCAGGAAGGCCCCTTTTAAAAAAAATTGCACATTTCTATGTAAATATATGCACAGAACTAGCAGTCCTTTGTACTTTGTTTTCATTGCAGTTAACTCAGTAGTCAGGAGGACAGAATCCCCCTTGTCCTGCTTCTTCCTTGTGTTAATTTACTTTCCTCATTTTCAGTGATTTTTACCAGCTTCACCAGCTCAGGGAAAGCACAAGGAGATTGTTCTGGTTCTTTTTTGAGATGGTCAGTCAGGTGCGATCTGTGGGGAAACAGGAGAGGCTCAGGAAAACAATTCATTATACTCAGTGTTCCTAAAGACTGGAGGGCCTGCCATTCGGGACCACCTGGGAAAGCACAAGGGTGGTCAGGAGGCAGGAGAGACCAGGTGAGGGGAGAGCTAGGCCCGAGCTGTTATTAGAGTTTCTCCAGGAGAAGGCTGGTCAGGGCAGGGTGGGCCATTTAGGATTGGCTAGTCTGCTTAACTTAAAAGGGTGGTAACAATAGGGGTGGTACCTGGCCCTGGGATAACTAAGGCAAAGGGAATTGCCTCCTAGGTGTATGGGACAGATAGAGAGGTTTGGTTAGTTAACACATCAGAAGCCTGGGCTGTGTGTGTGGCTCCTGATAGAAGCTTGCCTAGCATTCCAGGCCTGGGGTTCCATTCCCCTTAGGGGAGGAAAGGAGGGAGGGAAGAGCGGTAAAGAGAAAGGAAAAGGAGAGGGGGAGGGGGAGAGAGAGAAAACTCTATTTATCAAATGTCTGCTCCTGACTGAGCCCTTGGCTATATCTAAGAATTGGCTAGACCTGGAAGAGGCAGTCTCTCTCCAGTCAGAAAGATTTTTAAGATGCCAAATCAGAATAGTAAGACTACAATGTGGAGATAGAAAGAAGTATGAATTGGAGATGGTCCTAGGAAAGCGAATAAGAAAGAAGAAAGAACACATGTGGGGCTTAATCTCTAGAAAAAAAATGAGGGGGTAGGGAGAAACTTCTGAGTGCTATTGTTACAGGAAATAATACTAGAGATGAAATATGAAATATTATATCTCCCAACCTGTTAACTGTATGATACACCAAGTTCTTGTTCTCTAGAAACTGAAGAATGAGTCCTAGGAACAACGGAGGTTAAGAGTAGGAAGATAGTTATTGATAGGAAAGCTCCTGAGGGGCAAGAGGGTCCTGAGTGGGTAGCCCGGGGAACCCCACTTTACAGAAGACTTTTATAGGGTGCGACCCATGTGGGTACGACGTGGGCCACAGCCATGAAGTCCAGTAAGGTTACAAGTATAGTCACTTAGTAATGGTGGTCCAGTTGGGAAACAGGTCACGTAACAAGTGTGGATGGAAAGAACAAAGATTCTCCTAGGAAGTGGTGGGTCCAGAGGTCTCTGCTCACCCACTGGGGTGGTTGATGTCTATCTAGACTTCATTAGGCCAAGTGTTTGTTCGTTGAGGAAGTATGTAGACCTGGTCAGCTTGTCTTTATCTTGAGGCCTGGTTTTCAGCCGATGTGTCTCCGGTGCAGCTGTGGTATGTTTCACCTTTGTCCTGACCCTCTCCAGGACCTGGCCCTATCTGACTGTCTGTAATATTTCTACCTAACTCATCTATCTGTAATACTATCTGCTTCCTTCCTCTCTCTTTCCAGATGAAGAAACTGAGGCCCGTGGGTGCAGCATTGCTCATCTGCAGACCCAGCTACTCAGGAAGCTGGGGCAAGAGGATCACTTGAGAGCAGGAGTTTGGGGCCAGGCTGGGGAACTTAGCAAGGCTGAATCTCACAAAGAAACTGAGTCCCAAAAGCAGTAGACTACTCATTTCAAAATGGTTTTAGAAAAACATGGAATGTATTGAATTGGCTCATGTAAATCAAGAGTCCAGAGGAAAGGTCAAATGGAGCCAAATGCACTTCAGGATTTGGTGGCTCCAGCTTGCTGGTTCTGAATGGGGTCCACTGTGAGCCACTCCTCTTCTTGTGTGACTGCAGTACCCGTTAGAAATCACCATGGAAAGACCATGTGTCCATTCCAGGAGGAATGGGGTAGGCAGATCAGGCCAGCCCCATCTCATGCTTACTGGAGCTGGAGGGTGTGCCTGCCCCACCCAAATATGAAGATGCTTACTGCAGCATTATTTATGTGGCTTCTACTCCTGGGAGAGTAGAGGTAAAGAGTGGCGGATGCAGCAGCAACTTGGGTAAATCTTCAATCCCAGGGCGTAGTGCAAAAAGTAAGAAATTAAATGTGATACACAATCTATTACCATTTATGCAAAGTAAAAATACATACAAAATAATAATACTATTCTGCACATACAAACAAAAGATTTACATTAAATCACTAGAGTGGTTATCCATGCTAGGATAAAAGTCAACCAGTACAAGCCCACTACACACACACTGGAAAGAGAGATACTTGCAGGGAACCATGATGCCTAGGTGTCATGGCCCAGAGAGTGATAAACTCAACCCCCTGAAATGGGCTTTAAAAATTACAATTTTAAATATACACTAAAATACTAAAAATATTTAAATATAGATAATAAAAGTAATACAGTAGAATCTATGAGATTGGGGCAATTACTAAAATCTGTGATTTGAAAAAATTTATTATCTGTGTTAAAGTACTTACAAATATTACTAAGTCTAAAGATCTTGTAAACTTAAAACCTTCATTCTGCTTTTTCAAGAAGGCGGGAGTTCTAAATTTGTACCTGTGATGATAATTGGTTGTTATCAGTGTGCTACCTATTCAGTAGCCTAGAAAAAGAGTTCTTTTTGTCTGTCCCTTTAACGCACAGAGACATTTTAACAATGAGAAAGAAATGCCTTTTGAAAATAATCTCAACTGTGGAGAGGGTATTTTTGACGATAGATGTTTAGAAAAATTGTCATTATCTTGTGATTTTGTTTTTTTAAAAAAAAGTTTACTATCTATGAAAGCTCTTATGTCTATATATACTTAAAAACTCAGAAGAATTTTAAATCTTTCAGAATATCTTTCAAATGGATAAAGAAAATTTGGTGTATATATATATACACACACAATGGAGTATTATTCGATTTCATTTCAAAAAGAATGAAATTATGTCATTTGCAGGAAGATGGATGGAACTGGAGATCATTATGTTAAGAGAAATAAGCCAAGTATCATGTGTTTTCCCTAATACATGGAATCTAAAAAGAATTTTTGAAAAATTCTTCTAAAAATAAATTTTGAAAAATCTAAAAAGAATTTTTGAAAAAAAATTTCAAATTTTGAAAAATATGTGGAATCTAAAAAGAATTTTTGACATGAAAGTAGAAGGAAACTATTATTAGACAAAAGAAAGGGAATAAGGGGAGGAGGCAGGAGGTGTAAGGGAAGATAATAGAGGGAATAGAAATGATCAAAAATATGTTATATGCATGTAAGAAAATAGCACAGCAAAACCTAATATTTTGTAAAATTAATACACACTAATAAAAAAAGCACATTAAAAATCATCCAGTGTATTTTAGAAGGGGAGGTATATCTATAGTCTATGTTAAAATATAAAATACAGGCTGGGGGCATAGCTCAGTGGTAGAACACTTGCCTAACGTGTGAGGGCCTGGGTTTGATCCCCAATACACACACGCACAAACTTGTGTGCGCACACACAAGCACACAACACGCATACCCACAATTCACCAGCTTCTTATAAGCTTGCAAGAACAAATGACTGATTTCAGCAAAGGGAAAAATTTACCAACCAAATATCAGTCAAGACCCTGTGACTTCCTGTAGGTGAGATTGAAAACAAGTCTTGTGATTTCCTAAGCCTGCTCAGTGCCGTCGTTCCCCGTCTGGGGCCAGGAAATGCTGTGCAGCCTCTTCTATTATGCCAGCTATATGGTCCAAAAGCAAATAGTAAACTTAGAGTTGGACCATCGAATCCCTTTACAACAAAGGGTTAAACCAAGTTTCAAAAAAATAGCGAAACAGTGAAAAGGTCATCAGGGATTGAGGTTAGGGAATTAGTAGATGTAACACAGAAATTTTAGAACAGTGGGACTATTCTGTACAATACAGTAGCATAATGGTTTATGATACTATAATAGCAAGTGCATTTGTTATACACTTGTCAAAAGTCATAGAATATACAACACAAATAGTGGCCCCTAATGTAAAGTATGGACCTTAGTTAATAATAATAATATATATCATGAAAACAGTCCCAAGAAGGAGACAGCAATACTACCTCACTACTATATCTTCAGTGACTGGTTGTTCAGATGCGATAGAATGTGTAAGCTACATGTTTTATTATACAGAGACCATCTCAATCATGAAGGAATACTTTTGAGATTTTATTTTCCTTCAGAATATCTTAGTGCTAAATTTTTAAACTGCCTTTTTGTTGAGCTGAGTGATAGGGCTTTGATTTGTATTGAAATTATAAGCTCACACTGGTATACTATTTTACTGGAGGGGTGTCATGTGTCTGACGAAGAGTGTGTGTCTATGTAAGAGATGCTACCTTTGTAGTATATGAAGAATGTCTATACCTTCATGTCTTGATAAGATAGTTTGTGATCCTTGTAAAAAAATAATAAAATGTATCAGTATTGGCTCATCAACTGTAGCAAGTGTATCCCACCAATATGAGATGTTATTAATAGAAGCTTGGTGAGCGGGTGCTGAGGGGGCATGAGGTATCTCTGTACTTTCTGTCCAATATTATTTCTGTAAACCTAAAACTGCCTCCCAAAGTAAAGTTCTACAGGGTTTTTATTTGTTTGTTTTTGTTTGCGTTTGTGGCCCTGAGAATTGAACCCACTGAGCTACATCACCAGCACTGTTTTCGAGACAGGGTTTCGCTAAGTTGCTAAAGTTGTCCAGGCTGAACTTGAACTTGCAATCCTCCTGAGCTATGATTACAGGCATGCACCATGACTGACATTTTTGTGTCTGTTTGTTTGTTTGTTTGTGACAGGGTCTCGTTATGTAGCCCAAGCTGGCCTCAAATACACAATCCTCCTGTCTCACATTCTGAAGTACTGAGATTACAATACATATGCAAGGCATATGCAACAATGCCTGGCTAATAAACTCTGTCTTTTAAAAATTAAAGCTTATTCAATCATTGTCCTCTTAGGAAGAATATTTTCATTTTATTTTTTATACAGAAGAAACATTTTGTACCATTAAAACATTTTAAAAATATTCTTTATCTTTAATTTATATTTTCATGTATGTTTAACAATGTATAAAATGATTATAACAGTTATACATGATT